GTATTTGAGTGAAGTCTAGAATTTAGCGAATAGAGATGAAATTGTGGCATGCCGTAAATACTGTTATCATCATACAAAATCTTCGCATATATGTGCACTAAGAGAAAAATTGGGGTATCTCTCTTCAATAGTTTACTACCGTTGTTTCGAAGTGCTAGCAGGTATGATAGGACGAAAATTCTAATCAACTTATGTGCACATCTTTATTGAAGTGATAATAATCTAATTTTCTACTGCACATCAAAAAATTGTGTTTAATAACTATCTCCAAGGCAGGTCATCGAAATCAATTCAAAATCGAAAAACTCAGTATTTTTTACGAACTGCTTGCCTTTCATACGAACTTCTAGTAAAGTAAAACAAACTTTGTGTGACTAGCAAAATGCTCAGATTTCTGCTATAGAAAAGTGAAAGAAAAATATGCTGGACCAATTCTAGCGCAATGATTCTAGCGTTCTATGGAACCATCCCGATGACTAATTTTGCACTATGTATGATCACGTTTAAGCTGTTTCTCCCTTCTGTTCCTACTCCCCATTAATTCACCAAGTACTCAAATTTCTTTCAAAGCTCAATCTGTTATTAAACAATGCGACAGTGCTTGAGTGATTTGAGTGACCTTTGTGAAGAACTACCAATGTAGCAAACGTTGTAATCAAAGACGTCTAAAACTAGGGTGCTTAAATTCTCTAACAATGAATCAGTCAGAGGGAAGTGTCTGCTTCGCATGCATCAATTTTCAGATTCTCAAAATTTGACAACCTTCTCATTCTTAGCTCGTTCTATCCCAGGATAATATTGAGTGCTGAGGCATGGTTTATTTTGTTAAACACGTATGTATAATAAATTCATCTAGAGCACCAGAGTTTTTTCCATTGCTTTAAAAACTTGCTTAATATACATCTAGCAAAATTTTCGATTTCATTGAGATACTGTGAATTGCGTGTTGTTTCGAACTCTTAGCTAAAGAATATCAGCATATTCAGTCACACGGTCGCATACCCAGCTTGAACCTTCAATTTTTCAGTGATTCTTCTTAATTTAAATGTATGCGAAGGTATGAAAAGCGCATTTGCTTTATTTTATAATTATCGTTTGACTTGCGATAGAATTATTATGTAGTTGTCAGTGCTGATAACTGATCAAATTTGCATTCTCGGATATCATTTTTATTACATTGCAACAGTGAACCAGACATTGTGTGTTGTAAATGTTGCTAGATAGGTTTCCCAGTCCATGCGACTACATATGTTGCTGTTTCTCTGCTCTCCTCATTTAAACTTACTTTAAATTAAAAAGAAATCCTATCATGTGCTTAAGCTTCCTTGGTCCAGATCATGCTCACGACGCATTCTTCAAAACAACTCAGAAAGGAGTCGAAATAATTGTTATCTATATTATTCGTCGGAACAAGGCTAACTTCTCAAATATTCAAACGTCAACTTTTCCATCTATTATCACGACAAAAAATTTCATGCAGTTTTATGCCAATTTTTTTTATATTCAAATAAAATGTAGTGCATCACGCAGTTCATATACTTTGCAAAAAGTATGCATGAAGGGTAAGCGCTCATGGAGTTTATCCATTTGTTGTACATATACAATATATCATATCCTTGAACCGCAGAGCATCTCCATATTTTTCTTGAAATTCGATATCTGTGCATATTTGGGCAGATCTCTACATTGTAAAAAAATTTTATTATATGCCTTAAGCATTAAATAAACGATCATACATGAGACCAATAAAAGTGCAATAAGGGCCCCCAGGCCTGTATGTTCTTTAGTTCACAGTAGTACGTTGGTTGTCTGTTGTTCTGACAATTCTGTTTATATGGAAAAGTGTCCTATTTCTCTCTGTTTCCTTTAGATTCACACTCATATAATACTACCCAAGTAAAACATTGCTATTATTAAACTTAAAATTTGCTTTTTCTTCAGTTTTCAAATTTTTTTCTCATAGCTACCATATCTATAATAGAACCGAAATGGGTGAACATTCAGTAATTTCTAAATTCTTGGCATCCCTATAAAACACTAATCGATCGATCTTCTGATGCCTTTTGGTATGTCTGACGATATCTGATGCTGTCGCTGAAAGTTCTAACCTCTACGGCAATGTGATTTCCTAACTGCCAAAATATCATTGTCTGGTTCGTGACCGTAGTTGACGAAATACCGCAATGCCCTTTTCAGAAGTTGACTTTTATGCTTTGAAATGCAGATCCGAAAGACAAGGGCAGCAGGGTAGCTTGAGAACAAGTTGGCCCTCATCCTTTCTTTTCAATCTCGAAATTCGGTAGGTGGTACATCGCAAAAAATTTTTTGGGGGGACTTTGATTTTACGCACTTTGACGGAAAGCCTTTCAATGCAGAGGCGAGTATGAAATAATATGAGGGCATCATAACCTACACTTGTGATTGCTAAATGTGCGATTACCATACTCTTGTAGACAAGATGTATTATCGATTAAACACTTGTAATTCCCATTGCACTCAATGCGGGAACCTGCTCAAATCTTCGATATTTTGAGGTTTGCTCAATGATCTGAGGAAATTTTTGCTCAGAGATGCAGCTCTTAATTATAACTCTCTATGGTGAGAATTCTTGACTGATAAGAGATTCAATAGCTACGTTAAAAATATACCCTAATTTCACACGTATAAGGCGAGGGGGATTTTTTTCCAAAATCGACCAGCCCAGACACGCCAAGGGGCTTTACAACCAAGAGACCCTATAACGTGCTGTATATTGCTTAAGAGAATCATACGGTATAAAGATCTCTTTCCGGACAGTGAAGCGGCTGAGCGGCTCGATTGAAAAATCGAAAAAAAATGCGCCTTATACGCGTAAAATTAGGGTACCTATTTTTGCCTAAAAAACTCCCTCCACTCAGAATCACCTCTTTTTTCGGAAAAGCACTAAGTGCCATAAGTGCCGATTCGATATGTGTATAGCACTTATACAGTTCAACAATGTGTATACTATATGTGTATCGTCGAGTTGTTGACAGACAGCACGGCCGGATGTAGAGAGTCCGCGCAGCGCGCTGAGATATACTTCATGCACTGCAGAGTAGTAGTCGCATAAAAGGTGACTACAAAGACTTACAGCACTTGCAAACTATGCGCTTGGCCATGTTATCATATCTTATAGACATCCAGTCTTTCAAATGATGTTCGAAAATCGAATGATATTCGAAATTCGAATGATATTGGATATTCCAATAATCGAAATTTTCGATTTTCAAATATTATTCGATAGTGGAATGCTCGGAATTTTCTATTTTCAAATATCATTTGATAGTCGCATATTCAAAATTTCCGATTCCTTTACATGACTTTTTCACAAATCTAATATATCTTGTTCTATATCAATATCCCTGCAACTTAGTTTTTGAATCTCCCTAAACCTGCTCTTTCTTGCCTAGTTACAACCCTCCAAAAGTTTTGTACGGCGGCGGCAAGCCTGCTCCAAGCGCGCAGGGGTCGCGCCGGACACAGCATGCCGCCAATTCGGAGAATACGAACATCTTCAGTTCTTTTCCGTCCGTTCAATGTTGTTTTTATGTCTTGTTTCATCCTTTTTCATTTATCGTTTTAATCCATTCATGATTGCGTCATAGATAATGTCGGATTTTTGTGGCAAAGTCTACAGGACCCTGTTTTGTGATGACTGGGTACATAAGTTTGGTATGTAATGTACACGGTAAACTGGCAGTGTTGAAATTTCGGTTCAGAAACTTGTTGTAGTCAAAAATACGTGTAGAGATTGAATTATTATAATCGAAAATGTCTCTGCTTCAAATTCTGGGTTACCAGGATTGTTCTAAAAAATAGCCGAAATGAACGAGTAGAAGACATAATGTCAAAAACTTTTTCAAAATCGCCAAAATGTGGCATGAAGCAAATTTTGGTGGTGCGAATGTGCACCGTCCCGATTTCGAACCAATCCGCTCTTAGAACGAAGTGCGATCACTTGTAATTTCGATGCATCAGTCAGCTCTCAAATCACAGTATGCGTCATCATTGTGACCTCAAAGGCAGTGGCTCGGCAGATCCTCGACCCGAACTTTTTTCGCTTATCTGGGGTAATTCGACTCGCTGATTCCGAAAATACACTTTAAAGAGCACGAAAATGTCAAAAACCAGCATTTTCCAAGGGTTTTCATTTTTAATTTGGACGAGTGGACCACTCCCCGCCATGGTTAGAGACGTGAAGTCTTTGCGGGACTCTCACGTTTTTTAGCATTGGGCATGCCCCCTCTGACGGTGAGAGGGCACCGCAAGCTCGTCCGAGCGCGCGTAGAAATGGTTTGCGCGCACGGGTGTGGGGGCAGTTGTCTAGGCAGGGGTAGCATGTAGTGCGCTCGGACTTGCTCTGTTATGATTGGGATGCAAGCAACCTTCCATATCAAAATTTCGAGATGTTTGGTTTTGCCGAGCCACTGCCTTTAACTCAAGTTCGAAGAAGCGCAAGTGGCGGAACCACGAGGCAAATCGGAAAGAGAAATGCCACGAACACTAGATTTGGCCCGAATTTCCTCAAATTCTCGTCAGTAGGCGTCAACGAAGAGGATGAATTATTTAATGTGCCGTAATGAGTTGCAGCCCGAGGTGCGCTAACATTCAAATCAGATTGGCATTAATAATGGACGGTAAACTTCAGTCACCGCATTCTTTTTTCGGACTTACGCATGAGAGCACAAAATGAAAGTAGCTGATATCCTACATTACAACAAGGGGAAATGGTAGGTTTAATATTGAAGAAGATGAAAGATGTCTCAAGTGATTGGCCAAAGGTACATACGAGAAAAGCTAACATGGAAAGCCTGTTATACCATTGTTAGTCATCAACTTGAGATGGGCACTAAAAGTTTACTTTCATCATTGGGAAGGTTTCTTCTTTACAAGTAACGTCTGCAGCCAAACTCCACATCTTTCATTGCGATTGCTTGCTTTTTTCTTCAATGAAGTATTGTGCTTGTAGCGATCTTCCGTCAGAATTTGGTTGTGGTAGGTACACCACTGCCTTTCGAAGTGATCCGGGCGTTAAATAAGAAGATTATAAGCCTAAAAGGATGTTTCTAGTGACAAAAACAAGACAAACGAAGGTTTTTTCAGTACAAAACCTCTAAACTATTGAATTTCGCTGTTTTCCTATCAATAACTAAACCATAGACACGGCCACTGCAAATAATACAGTCATAACCAATTTTCCCGTAAAGTAATTCATGTGCAGGAGTTCTCAAGTTTGTAAATGATGCTTTTCTATGCAAAATAGACGAGAATGCGGAGGTGCTCAGCACAGACCTTATCTTACTCAAAGACTTCTCCTCTTGCAATCTTAGAAATCTGCGCACTTAACAAATTCTATTTCATTCTGGCTCTTCGTACTTCCTTTTGATTATAATTTTTCTCAATACCAAGAACATTTGGAACTGTATTTGGGAAAAAATGAACGGTTAAGCACGGCAGCAGTATATGCAATTGAATGAGTTTCTACAGCAGCATGGAAGATGGTAAAAATTGTGAGTTTTGAGCTGAGTCGCAAAATCTGTATGCTGCCAATATAGAGAATTTTGAGGAGTTTCCGAACGTGGTTATGAGCATATACTAGTGTGGGCTTTTAGCTCAATATTCATGCGTTAATTACACATTTTAACTCTCATTTAGGAGGGAGAGTTGATAAACAGGGTAAGTAAGCAAAACGATTACGGAGTCAGCGACTATAAAATAACCCTGATTTGGAACTGCCTGTCCATATTAGATACTTAGATACTTAGATGGCCCGTTCTCACGTGACGTGCGGGCCCCAGCACAGAGGTTGCCATTCCCTGTCCCTCGCTTCAGACATCCACGATCTTCTTGGTCGCGTTGGTGACTGCGCCTACGAGTTCCAGAGGCGAAAGTCGTATGCAGCTGATTTCTCAGCTGGTCCATCCGTTCCACGAACACGTCCACCCATCTCGTTGTTGGTCTTCCTCGGGGACGTTTGGCTTTGCGAGAAATTCACTTAGATGTTTTTAGTGTCCATCTGTCTTCTGTTCTTCTCATGATATGACCGCCTCATCAGTGTTTCGCTCTGCAACGTATTCCGCTGGGTCACGAAGACGGGACATTCTTCTCATAACCGTACTGCGAAGTCCCACTAGATGCTGCTTGTGTCGGGTCATCTACAAAGACTGCGCTCGAGCGTTCTGTGGGTGATCTGTAAACTTTCGACATGGCTGCAGCGTCGGCCCAAGTCTCAGCTGCGTAGCAGAGCGCTGGGAGAACGGTTGAGTCGAACAGGTGGGCACGAAGTTCCGGGTCCTCAGTTGGTCGGTGGCTTCCTTCAGAAGCCTAAAGGCGGCCCAGGCTGCTCTTTCTTCTCCTATTGAGTTCTTCCCTCAAGTCGTTCTCCATGTTCATCTAACGTCCGAGATACACGTAAGAAGACGTCTCCGTGATAGGGGTGCCTTCCAATTCCGTTTCTGCATGCAAAGGGCGTTCTTCATGAGCTGAGTCTTCTTCAGATTGATTCGCAATCCGATCTTCTTCCCTACTTCGTTCAGTTCCTTCAGCATCGTCTCTGCTTCAGTGATACTCCTCGAAAAGAGAATGATGTCGTCCCCAATACGAAGGTTCGACAGGAATCTCCCATCAACTTGTATGCCCCTCTCGTCCCAGTCCAATGACTTCATCACCCACTGCAAGGCCACGGTGAACAGCTTCGGCGAAATTGTGTGCCTTGTCGGACCTCCTTCCCAATTGGATTAGTCAGGGGGTGATGGAACAGCTGCATCGCCGTTGTACAATCCTTGTAGCAGTCGGCTAACGTCCTCACGTAAGCTGGGTCCACTCCTTGATCGACTAACGCAGACAGAATGCGTTAATTTCGACACTCAAAGGCTTCCTCGTAGTTGGCGAAGGTTAAGACGAAGGGCAGTCGGTACTTCCGGCAAACTCCCTCGAAAAAGTCTGGTGTGCATGCAGCTGAATCCTTTACAAAATCCAGCTTGTTCTTGGGGTTGGGCATCCATCCATTGTCCTAGATATGCGAGCGAGGATAATCTTCCTGAAAAGCTCGTACAGCACACTCACCAGGCCTATTAGACGATAGTTCCGAAGATTCTCCCGCTCACCCTTCTCAAAGAAAAGGACGGTTTTTGACGTTTTCCACTGGTCGGGAATCCTCTCCTTCTGAAGGTAAGGTGTCAGGTGCGACGCGAGAATCTTGTGTAGACGTTGTCCTCCGGCTCGCAGAAATTCGACAGAAATGGTCTGGTTCTGGAGCGTAGACGTCTTCATGGTTTGAATCGCCGTGTGCACAGCAGGTAAAGTTCAAGGTGGAACTTCTCCAGTGGGAACAACGAGCATTGGCACGGGTGTTGATGAACGGAAGAGATTGGTGTAGAAGTTCTTCGCGATAGACTTCATCTTGTATTGAGAGGAAGTCGGAATCCCATCTTCGTTTTAAAAGTGCAGCCAGTGGTACGTGATATTCACAAAGGTCCCTTCGGCACTTCTTGAAATTCGCCTTCCTTCGGCTGCTTCCAGTATCTTGACTTGCCTGTACTTCCTGAGATCCGCAAAGCTGTTCTGCAACTGGCGTTGGCTATCAGTTGTTCGAGATGGAATGCATTCGGATCCTGCCTAGTTTCTTCTTTCGAGCAATTCCTTGGTGGTCTCTGAAATACGTTCCAAGTTCTTCTCAGAAGTCACTGAGGCGCGCTCTCCACAGGCTCGCAAACATTTTAGAAGCCGGTCGTAGTCATACGTCTGGTCCTCCTCGATGAGCCAGTCACAACTTGATATAAGCTCTTCCAGCCTGTTACCGTCATAAACGACTTCCTTACTTCTTGCGGCATTGTGACAGACTTTCTTTTCCAGCCTTCGGCTGAGTCGTACCTTCGCTTAAAGGAGGCGACTGCAGAAGGATGGAACTACTGAGACATCGAGCAAGCTCCACCCTCGGTTGGTGAAAATGTGGTCGATCTCAGAATGAGTCGTTCCGTTGGGCGATTCCCAAGTCCACCGGCGATATTCTTTCTTCATGAAGATGGAGTTTCCATGGAAGAGTCGTGCGGCGGAGAGGAGCCCAACGAGACGGTTGCCGTATTCGTTCCGGAGCCCATATCCAAACTTCCCGATCCTATATTCCTCTTCTAGGGGCATCCCGATCTTCGCGTTGAAGTCGCCCACAATAAACTTGTAGAAGGACTTCTCGTTACGGACGACCTGCTCCACATCTTCGTAGAAAGCATTTAGTTCTGAGTCGTCAGCTGCTGACGTTGGAGAGTAGCAGATGATGTTGCTGATGTCTTCTGACGTGGAGGGCGTGGTTGTGTGATGGCGGTCGAGATGATAGGATCTCGTGCGAATCGACAAGATGGGCGATAGATGGGTGGACGACAAAGCCGACGCCTCCCACGTTTATAGAACCTTCTCACCACGAATGATAAGCGTTCCATCACTCATCTGCCGTACGCCTTCTTCCTGGACTTCGTTTCTTGCAGAACGATGATGTGGTACTTGATGCGCTCCGCAGCGTCGAGGACAGCGTGGAGGTCGGCGTTTGTGAAGACTATCCTGGCGTTGTAGGTGCAGAGCATGAGGCAGTCTCCATGGCGTATCATCCGGGCAGACGTGTCGGTTTTGTCCATCTAAAAGGCGCCCTGAGGACCCTGACATCGTTCTTGCTACCACTCGGCGCCCTAGGCGGGATACGATGTGCAGGGTTTCCTTCTATTCTTCTAGCTGATAGAGTAATAAAATTTTTTTCCTAAAAAAGCAGATTTACTAGGCCTACTCTTGATTTCCACGGAGCGATCGCTGACCCCGGGCTTGAGCTGGAGAACCGCCTAGCGACCAGAAAACCAGACGGCGGTGGATCTGGTCCTGCCGGGTCTTAGCTAAGCTTCCGGCCGAGCCCGGAAATGTCAAACTCCTTCACAGCTTGGGAGGCCCTGACAGAATATACACTCGGCTGCATCGCAGTTCGACACCCAGTGTCATCCCCAAGCCAGGATGAGGCGGCGGACCATTGTGGGGGAGGGGGGGGGGGGCTGTCCATATTCAAGTGCTTACACATATTGAACAAAAGCGATTATCTAAAGCGATTACCTATCACTTTCTCCAATTATCCAATACTTTGTGTGATTGCCATGTAACCCTCAAAATTGAAAGTTTTTTTATGAATCATTTCGATTGCTTCTCTGTCATCAAAAATGAATTGCCGAACTGAAGAGTTTTTAATGAACCTCGTGCCAAAACTCGGAATTCATCGCTCAATAACTTGGTATACGAGGTCGAAGTGGCTGATTATTACAGGATGCATGCCTTTACAAAGAGCTTGGAGAGCTGATTTTGAATCCGCTTTTGGGAAGGAATATGGGCGTTTCTATCACCGAAATTGCGTGGTTATGAGTGGCTGCGATGGAAATCGTTCAGTTCGCTTCTTGCGCTACAACCATTCAAAAGCTTCAGCATCACATGAAGCTAGAAAAACGGACAGGAATTGGGCATCACCGCAGGGTCATGCAAAGCGATGGAAAATACGGCTTATGGGCAGTACGCTGTCCAACATATTTGTTGCAAAATATGTTAAAATACTTCAAGATGGAAATGAAAATAGAAGATGTTTCAGGATGCTGAGGTTGCTTTCATGCTGCTAGAGATTCTCCCTTTTGGAGCAGTTGCTTGAACATGCAGTCTTCAATAATATATGCACCTCTGTCCTTGAATGAAGCCTAGCAAACCTTACCCATCGATAGCGTGAGAGAGCTCCCATGCCAGAGAGTAACAAATGAACCACCACATAATGGAGTCGCTCATCCCACCCGCGTAATTGAACATGAAGGTTTCAACAAGGAATGTAGAGTCCTGACATATTCCCTACAACCACTGCATATACCGTGTACCATTTGCGTAAAAACCCCACCTGCAAAACAATCCGTTTGATTCGGTCCCCGTTTCGACGTCTCTCAGCATCATTGGCAAACGCAAGTCGATTCTTGAAAGAATAATTGTTGTTTACACTTTGCTCAGCAACTCTTCCGATAATATCGCGTTTTCATTTCGGCTTTTTCTCAAATTAGGAACTATCGATCCTGTTTACACAATTCTTGATAATTTGTTCATAAATCGTCGCTGCAGATTAATGTTTTCGTACTAGCGGAAAAACAGATTCATAGTTCTTTCTCGCGCTCTAGATCATAGAAATCTAATGGTGGCGCAATCTTTCTCGATTAAGTGAGTCTCTTAGGCCTAAGGCATACCTCACGCGATTCGGCCGAAACGCCACTTTCAAGCAACTTGGCGATTTGCCAGATTTCTACAAATTTATCGTGCGCGCTTCTCGGACGCATATTTGGGTAGTTGTGTAAGTTGTTGCAAACCGAGCAAGTTCTGACCGAAGGCAACGCATTAACGACGATTTACGAAGAGTCGCTGTTGTGCCAAATCGCGCAGCAACCGGAATCGCGCGAAGTATGCCTTAGGCCTTGAGCTGATTTCATACTGATTCCCATGTTTCGGAACTGTTCTCGCACAGTTTCCGCACAGTTCCGGCACTGTGCTGGATGTTTCGGAACTGTGCTGCATGCGCTGCAGCCTCTCCGAACGCCTTTTGAACGGCGGGAGTTGGAGAATTTTGACCGCTTCCAACGGTTTTTTTTTTCAGATTTCTCTCATTTTGACCTTATTCCTCTACCTCGCTTCCTATTTTGTTCAGCAAAACTTCGAACTCGAAGCGAGGTGAATGAGCGCTTCTCCGCTCTGCCAATGCGACAAGATGTGTGTTCTTGTGCTCTCCATTTCTATTCGCTTTATTTTTACGCAGACCTATTCCATTTGTTCCAGGAAGCCGCTGAGTAGTTTCTATAGCCATCTGCCATGAATTTGGAAGAGCGAGCAATTTTGAAATTTTTTAAATTAAGACTTTTTTGATGAGTTTCGTTTTTGGCCATTCTCAGCCCCTCTTTTTTCATATCGTTGCTTCTTCGTTTCTTCTCCTACCCCGCTTATCCTTATGATAAGAAAAGTTGCGAACTTGAAGGGGGTTTGAGGATTGAATGCTGTTCTGCTCCAAGTATCCGGGAAGATGGGCCTTCGTGCGCTCGTTCATTATCTCTTCACCAATTTTGTTCAGACCTACTTCATGATTTCTAGAAAGGCGCTGCGTAGTCATCTGTGTCGAATGGACATAGACAGGTCTCTAGAACACATGAAGTAGGCCTGAACAAAAATGGAACAGAAAATAGACGAGCCCATGAAGGCTTATCTTCCCGAATACATGGAGCAGGACAGCGCTCAACCTTCAATCCCGCTCCAAGTTCGTAGCTTTTCTCATCACAAGGAGGAGCGGGGTAGGAGAAGGAACGAAGAAGAAACGATATGGAAAAAGAGGGGCTGAGAATGCCCCAAAACGAAATTCATCAAAAAACAAGAGAAAAGCCCCAGTTTATGAAATTTCAATGCTCGCTCTCCCTAATTCATGGCAGATGGCTATGGAATCTACGCAGCGACTTTCTGGAACCAATGGAATGGGACTGAGTAGAAAGCGAAGAGAAGATGCACGAGCACAATAGCACACGTTTTGTCGCATACGCAGAGCAGAAAAGCACTCATTCTTCAATCCCGCTTCGTGTTCGAAGTTCTGCTGGTCAAAAAGGAAGCGAGGTAGAGGAATAAGGCCAAAATGAGAGAAATTTGCAAGAAAAACCGTTGAAAAACTGCCAAAGTTCTCCAACTCCCGCCGTTCAAAACCCGTGCGGGGCGGCTGAAGCGCATGCAGACAGTCTGGAACAGTTCCAGCACACTACGGAATTGTGCGGGAACAGTTTCGAAACATGAGAACCGGTATGAACTCAGCCTTAGCAAATCACCGCGAGAGTGTTTGACTTCAAAGTTCAATGTTCGTTCATGCCTGTCTTTACTCCCCTAATGTGTTATTGATCTGGCAGTTTTGGCCTATCTCCCGCTTTGGTATAGTGAAAGCAATCCAAGACAGTCAAGAGGGACTATTAATAGATTCTCGAAGTCAAAGGATTAATGCGTATGAATCACTGGTTCCAGCGTATGCCGAGCCCTGTTGTCAAGACACAACACTATAAGCTTTGATCGTCTTGCTAACATTAGCACTTGAAGTAGCTTGTAATTTCACGAATTATTAGAAATCCATGTTAAATCGAGGATTGGACTATCAGGGTCGAGCAAGCGCCGTTCCACACAAGCGCTGGAAAGCCCCTTTCCAAGTTCTGTTCCATTACCCCCTGGAGATATCATTTATTTACCATAGGCATGACATAAAGGCTCTGCCAAACATATTTAGTAACATGTGTATGATTATCACGTCAAATAACCCCTTGCAGGCCAAGTTTCAGCGAATCCTGAGGGTTCCCAATTCGGTCACCCCAGTGAAGTGGTCATTTTTAAACATTCTCAACTTAATATACAAAGTATCCCAAGAAGATGTGCACACTGTTTGATCATTAATAATTCTCTTGCTTTCATGTCTTTTGCCGAGTTTGACGTACCATTCTGTAGAGCGAGAATAAACTTAGATTTACAGTATGGAGCGAATCACCATTCACTCTTTATTACTGTAGGATTACGGTATGAGCTTTCAGCGCAGAGCGTTCAAAAACGTCTAAAAATTTGTGTAGCAAGGTTTTCAGGCGTGCTGATTTCACTACATAACTTTCCACCAGTTTTCCGAGCTTTCTTGATGGCGTATTCACATTTCTGACAAACACTGGGGAATCGGTTTTTACCCTAAATCTGAAATAATTCATGAAAGAAACAGTGTACTGACTTGCAATTTTCATATTTAGAACTAGCGACTTCGATTTACCCGGTTCTCAAAGTAATCCTACAATAATGAATAGCGGCTGATAAGTTGCTCCACACTGTAAATCTAAGTTGAACGCCGCTCTAAAGAATGGTACCTCAAGCTCAACAAAAGACATGAAAGAGAGAGAGAGAGAAAGAGAGAGAGAGAGTAATTAACAATCAAACAGTGTGCACATCTTTTTGGGACACTCTGTTTTCCAAAAGTGAATCAGCCACCTCTTTTACAGTAATTACAAAGCATTATCCTCTATCTGCTCGTACCATGGATCCTGCTCAAACAGATAACCACACCATCGACAGTCTAGAGATAGGGCATCAAAAGTTAAGGTTGTTTGAACATCTGACGTCATAAATAGTGAAGGTTGGTTAGAGAAGATTAGAGAAGAGAAAATGACGTAAAACAGATATAAAAAGCAAACGAAACTGCTGGAAATTGGGTAAAAACGCTGCAACGAGGTTTGGAATTCATTTGGCGGCTTTTCAAAGCGCAAGTTTTCGCTCCAGGACCAGCAATGCGCGACACGGGGTTTTGATTTTTGATGCGTCCTTTAAAATTTTACCCCCGCACTGACATTCCTGTTTCCTGGGACGTTGTCTGAATTGTTGCGCTTATTGTTCTGAGCAACAATCGCCCAAGCTGGAAAATTCGCTGCAAAAGCACTGAAACAGAACAAGGTAAGGAAAAACGCACTTTTTACAATTTTTCGCAAGAAATTCCACCATAATCGAAGAGGTAAGGGCTGGGAGGTTGTCTGCATTATGAACAGAAGCAAGATATGTAGAATGCACGAAAAATCGCGTGAAAAGAGTTAAACTAGGAGAAAAACAAGAAATTTTCGAAAACAAGGTTTTTGCCGGATTTCTCAATCAGATCAGAAAATGTGGTTCTAGGAGGTTATTAGCGTAGGAATAGAGATCAAGAGCTTTGAAATTATATATAGGTTGCTAAAATTGGGTTCGAAACAGCGAAGAAAAGGGTACCAGAGCCAAATGCCCCGCGCCCCGCATTTGGGGTAGCGAGATAGCGCGGAGACGCAGACGAGCAGCGGAGACACACCAGAGCACAGGTGCGATAAGGTGAGAATGACTCCTTCAGGGTGAAAAGAGTCACAGTGGTCGCAGCCTCTCCAGGGTGAAGGGTGTTTCACTTGGTAGAGAAATTGTAAAATGTCGACAGCGGGGGGGAGAGCCATGATGTTTTCTCATCACTTTTCCTAGTCAAAGTTCATAATTTATTCCTTACCATCACTGGTTATCTTTTTTCTAAATTGTGAACCGATGTGCTGCTGGATTAGCACACAATTATATTTCTAAAAAGCACCTTGCATTTTTTTAAACATTTCCTTTTCCTTTTTTACATCACCTTGCCTGTTTTTGGAATTACCATAAGATGTGCACGCGATAACATTTGTTTCGGAAAGGGTTAGACAATTTTTGAACATTTGTTAAAGAAGAACATAATTTCTGTAGATGAATAGCAACGTCAGCAAGGGAAATGTTTTAAGACTACCTTGTCTTCCGCTTTTAGAGAATGTCTAGTTTGCCTGGAGTCTGTTGAAAAAGTGCCTGATGAAGAGTGTGGGTAGTGATTTCGGGATATTTACGAGTTTTTAAGATAGAAAAATTCGTAACTCTTGTAGATGAACATCTTGTACGCCGAGATGGTCACCATTGGAACCATCTCGTCCTCCGCTTTCAGAAAATATATACTTCACCTGGGGTCCATTAGAAAAAGTGCCTGGGTGAAGGGTGTCCTAGTGATTTTTGGAGATTTTCGAGTTCTTAACATAAAAAAATCCGTAACTTTTGTAGATGAACATCTTTCACGCCGAGATGGTCACCATTGGAACCATCTTGTCCTCCGCTCTCAGAAAATATATACTTCGCCTGGGGTCCATTAGAAAAAGTGCCGGGTGAAGGGTGGGTGAGACTTTTATAATGGGGGTGCTCAAGTAGACGTCTTTTTACAATGGTAAAAAAGCCTGTACTTGAGCACTCCCATTATAAAAGTCTCACCCTTCACCCGGCACTTTTTATAACGGACTCTAGGCAAAGTATATATTTTCTGAAAGCGGAGGACAAGACGGTTTCAACGGTCACCATCATGGCGTACAAGATGTTCATCTACGAAATTTATTAATTTTTTTACGTTAAGAACTCGAAAATTTCCAAAAATCAGTTGGCACACCCTTCACCGCATTTTCTTGAACGGATCTCAGATATTCTATATGCTTTCTGAAAGCGGAGGACGGGGAGGTTTCAGTGGTGATTATCTCGCCGTAAAAGATGTTCATCTAGAAAAGTTATGAATTTTTTTATGTTAAAAACTCCAAAATGTCCAGAAATCACTACTCACACCCGCCACCAAGCCCTTTTTCCAACAGACTCCTCCATTCCTGTACATAAACAATTCACAAATACAAATAGCTCCTTTGCTTAACCTTACCTCACTGTTGGTTTTCTTCTCGGTTTTTGGTGAAGGGGGTCACCTTGGTCCCGGCTCAGGGGTGAAGAGGGGGTGAGAAAATTCTCACACTATCGCACCTGTGCACCAGAGCCGACGGGACATTTGGCTCTGGTTGTAGATCTCCGCGGGGTCTCAACGAAACCCTATAACATTATATTCTGATCGCCTTGACACGACGAGGAGAACTGACAACGTCCCAAGCTTTGAAAATCACTCATTAACAGGATAGACCAGCGCTTTCGTGCACAATTCTCTGCGCAAGTTTTAAACACAGTTCAGTTTCTCGTTTCTATTCAACTTCAATAGCATTTCCAAACTTCTAAAACTTGATTTTGATCAAATGGGAGGTTAACTGAGAAATTTTGTCCTGAAATCTGGCGAAAATCCCACAGAAACCTTCTTTTTAATGCAAAGAAGGCTGTGAAAACGCAAATTTTCAGTTTCGCTCTGATAAGCTATTATTTCCTGTATTGCTTCATTAGCATTCGTTCCGATATAGTCAGGATAATAACGTCCAGGGCGAAGCCCCGAATGACTTCTGTTTTTTTCCAGGTGAAGGTTGTGTCCCCTCATAGCCCTCAAAGTGAAGGTTACCAGAGTACGTGGCTCTATGCATCGAGGCTATGCAGAAAACTATCGATAGAAGCCAGCCAAAATTTCACTTTTTCCATTTTTCGCTACAGTGGTTACGCTTCCAGCAAATATCAAACGAAAAAAAGAATTCAATTTTAATCACATAGAAATAACAAGTTTTGCTATCGTACTCTATACATTCCTTTGCTAAAATTTTGTGGAGGTAAATTAATGGGATATGGCAAAACAGAAATACGACTGCCACATCTTTTTTGGAGTTGTGCCACATTCAAGTATCTATGTTTTAATATCGTTTTTTTATATCGGCAAACCTCGAAAATTTTACAAAAGCTATCTAGGGCTGATTGGTCTTCTATAGATTGAAATATTGAAAGCGAAAAATTGGACAAACGAGATTTTGGCTTGCTCTTAACTCATAGTTTGCAGTGGGAATTCTGATGCAAGCAAGTAGTGGTACTTTGTATTAAGTGCAAGAAAAGTGAACTCACCTTTGAAACAGAGTTAACATGTTCAAAAATGACTATTTCGCTTGGGCCATTATGTGGAAACCCTATGATTCGCTGAAACTTGGCCCACAGGGATTATTTAGCGGCTTATTACGAAAACGATGCTCTTATGCTTCTAAGGCTTTTTTATTATGCTTCTGTACCTATACGATGGTGCCGAACATGATATTCGTTATCAATGTGCCATTGTTAACGAATATCATGTTTCGCTAACATCACCTTCTGTCCTTGGTGATGACTCAATGACCCACCTCGCCCCTCAATACGACCCCTAAGGTGTGCCGTGCCACATCCCAAGCCTGAACCTGTGAATTATCATAACTGTGTACCATTATGGGCTTTACATAAAGGAAGGTGCAAATCTCGATAAAGGTCAAAAAGCAATGATGAATTCCCTCCCATGCATTGCTTTTCATAATATGCATGTTCAAAACCCTCGTACGCGCCTTCTTCCACTTACTTCGGAAGACTAGATAAAATCGATACAGACGATAACTGGTTTAGATGTCGCATACAAGACATGCACTACCAGTGATACAAATGATGCGAGTAAAAGACCAAATAGGCACAGAGTGCCTTTCTCAGAATTCCTTCGTAGCAGAAAAAGCGAGGAAAGTCGCTCTTCTAGGGTGAAAAAATCTTTTGCTTGCTGTTTCATATCAAATTTGGATGGTCTTTAGCGTCTTCAATAAACGGTGAATCCTCAGCGGAGTGAGTACAAATTTCAGCGAACCCTGAAAGTCTACGATGACGCTGAGCGTTTGAGCGTGACCGCCCTTTCGGATATTACACCCAATCCTGTCGACCATACATTAATTATCGACACATTTACAAGCGTCGCTAAGTGTAATATAGAATAAACGGTTTGGTCACCTGTTGACTTTATCGGATTAACAAGCCCAATTTGATCTACTATGAACGCATTTTGAGGAATTGAACTTCATTGAGTCTGCTTCGTATTGAAAAGATCCTGTTCAAAGAAGAAGGGAGGCGATACGTTGTCGACGAGAATATGGCCCGTAGTAAAGTTTGATCAGTTCAGGTTAACTGAACTTACCCATCAGTTGAACCTAAGTCAGGTGAAATGATGGCCGCTCACCTTCCCATATTATAAGCATGCCAAGTGAACTGACAGTTGGCCATCCGTCCACCTGCTGCAGTCAACTGTTGCACACCAGTTCAGGTTCAGTTGAGCTGAACGTGAACTGATGTTAGAGTAATGAATTAGTGTAGAAAAGAGGAGTCGCAGAGAAGACTCCCGTGAGTGCTTTTGAGTAACTTACGATACGCATCACTTTACCTAACAGTGCAAACAAAATCGGCGCAAAACTGCACAATACCGCGAGCCGAAAAGAAGAGAATTGATGAACAGCTGATTCTGCGTGGAAAGAAAGGAAGCAGATCCTTTTCTTCTTAGTAAAGTTTGCTGACTTTTTTTTTTCGAAAAACTACTCGAGACAAGAATTTATTGATTCAATTCATTGAGTTCATGTTGCAACCATTTCATTTTTTCACGAAATTTTCGTCAAAAAAGTTTTTTGTATTATCCACGCATGTACTAGGCGAAATCCTTGATGGCGGTCATCATCGATTTTGCGATAGTTTTCGCTATCAAAGACGACAGGCGATACATCGAAAGTGTGGCACTACCCGGTGTTGAACCGTGGTCGCGAGCGTCTTATTCCAGTCGCTCACCTGTTCGACCAAACCGGCACAAGTAGTTCTTTCTTCAAGAACACACATGATTGTCATGATTTGAAAACGATCCGCATCCAGATCAATAGCTCACTGGATGCTGGATTGAGGCGTCCTACATTCAACGTATGCCAGCACCAGTCGAGTTGCACTGATGGGGGGGGGGGGGTATTTACTACGGGCCTATCTGTATAACATGGCACTTGCCAGAAGCTCTGATGCTTTCTTTACTAAGTACAAGCAACTTGAGGAAAGTCACCATCTCAAAAGTCAGTAAAAAATATTACTGCAAGTTTCTTCAAATTTCAGTAATTTCGAAACTCACACTGGCAGCTTTTAGCTTGAGCAATATGAACGCATTAGCTATGAAGACCGTTGCCGTACTGATATAGACAGGTACGGTGACCGTGTACAGAGTGAAAGCAGGTGGACAATCATCACCCCAGGCAGCAACTTCCTCGTCGAATGCGTAGCTGCAACTACTGCACGCGGAAGCTAAACACGAACGTATATTTCCAAAACTCTTGAGGGGAGGAATAGTAATAAAGTACTTACCTATCTCCCAAAAAATTGTCACAAATATGCCCCAGGCCCAGGGTAAGCAGATTTGAATCTGAAAATAAGTATTGGAAATCATATAGACAGTATTTTTTGATGTTAAGACTGGACAGGACCTAGTGAACAAATTTTAACATTCGCACTTTGAAGAGCAAATCTACAGTCTGCTCCAATCGGGATCAGACCGAACCGTCAGCGTAAATGCGCGCTCGCAGCGCCGACGGTCTGCGCTGCATATGCGCGCTGTCGGAGAGAGCACAAGGATTGAAGAAAGAGCAGAGAAGCAGGCCGTGGCCGTGACCGCGCCCTCTATACCAATCTTGGCCTGGTTAGAATTGGGGAAGACTGTAAGATGAAAGAGCTTCAAGTGTGTTGTAGGAGTTTATACATGGATACGGTTTCCAAATGCACAACTTGTCTGAGAATTAAATTACAATAGTCGAGGGAAATTTAATTACATTTAGAATAATGCCTTTTCCTTCTAACTCGTTTATGCATTGCCACATGGCTTCCAAATGTTGTGAACATTCCATCAGTACACTCTTTGTATGGACGATGTCAATCCCATAAAAGCAATGTGTTGACTCGTCAGGCACATTATTCGATTGGTCGAACCACTCCCTTATTATGCCCTGTCGCCCCAACGCGGCCTGGGTTGGAACAGGGTGTGAAACTGCGATGTACGGCCGAGTGAAATTTAATAGGGTCTCTGAAGCTGTGAAGGAGTTTCTCCGAACTTCGATTTGTGCAGATGTTTCACTAAGAGCTGCCCAAGCCATCTTCACCCTCCGGCTGGAAAAAAGTATCGCTGGCAGATTCTTTTTCCATATTTCATTCTGCTACCTCCCTGGAAAAGAGGAGCACGGCGAATAAGCAATGAATAAATAGCACGGCTTATAAATCTGATTTCGTTGGGAAAAAATCTATCATTCGATAGCAAGAGGAGTAGGCGGATACGCTGCACATCGGATGGCAGCTAAGGCACCGAGTAATAACAAGCACAACCTCAGAGATTTGGATCGGACACACGTCTGCGACGACTTGCCATCGAGACAGCTTCAGGCTTTGCACTTACAGCGCCAAAAGAGTTTTCGCAAACGCCAACATCTATCTGCTCATAGTAGCAGGTGCGTCAACTATCATCATTGCTCTGCAGAAAACAAGTCCTGTGACAGGAGAACGATCCCACCTTAAGGGGACGAACTGGCATGAACAGCGTTTCATTAGATTCCATTAAATCATTAGATGCTTTGAGCGTTCAAAGTCCAAATAGGCAAACATTCAACGCCACACATTGAGAATTAGTTGCTCAAAAACACTCTTCTGCATTCCCGGTGAATTTGAGCATTCCTTAAAATCAGTACACACAATACCATGCCAGTAATGCGCTTTCGAGTGGCTTTTGAAGCACATTATTCACTAAAACCACAACGATTTCACACTTCCAATAGCTAAAAACACTTTTGACAGAGAACCGCATCGCAAAAATAAAAGGCGGATTCGAAATTAGCTCATCAAGAGCATCTAATGATATACGATTCATTCCAATTCGCCACCTTAAGCAGGATAGCTCCCTTGTAAGAACAACGTGCGAAAGTCGGCTTATCGGAAATACACATCATATGACATGAGAAATTCCATTATAAAACATTATAGGCGTTAGCTTTGTCGTCCATCTTTCGACTCGCACGAGATCATAATATATAAAATCATAAGCCAAATTCAAAAACGCGGCACAGAGCGGGAAAGCGAGCGGTGGTCCCGGCGCGCGCGCCCTGTTTTTCACGGCTGCCACCGCTCGCTTTCCCCTCTACTAATAGAAGATTTGAAATAGTTTTATTCAAATAGTTTTATTCATTTCGATAATGCAGCGGGCAGTCACTTCGGGAGTCTCGATAGGGTGATTCATCAGTTTCGGCCTTTTATTTTCGTTCTTTATTCGTTTGATGATGATTCTTGTTGTTCTGAGTTTTTGCTACTTTTTATATCAGTACGTTTGTACATCAATATCAATCAAACTTAAAATATCTTGAAGTTCTCATTGATAAACGGGCCCGGAATTATTCGTCAGGAGTGACGTTCCACTTTTTCATTGATAGGAATCTAGACTAGATCTCGTTAATGTAACAATCACTGGTCTGGTTGAAATTCTGGTATGCTGCGCTGAAGGGACCGGTCATACTATTATTGTGATTCCTGCAATTCCTGCTATTTCTGCGATTCGTGCGGCTCCCGCAACAAGATATATTGCGAAAAAAACAATGTATACTGAACTTCGCAAAGCGTACTATAGTGCGGCACATCGGAAGTCAATCACAGGAATTACAGGAATCACAGGAATCACCTCCTGGAATAGTATGGCCGGTCCCTATCTTTTCTTTTGTGGTACGCATTTTTGATTCCATTTTCGACTCCTTGTCTTTAATCTGAAGACTTTCTTTGAATCAAAGTTTTACATAAGATTTTGTCCATTTTTTGTTTCGGTTGGGTCGCACTCGATTTGTTCTTTTGCATGCATCATTTCCTGTTTTGGAGAAGCAAGCGCAGTTGCTCTGCGTAAAGCTTTCAGTTCAGCAATGACGTTGATTTCTAGGTAATATTTCAGCTCCAAAAATCTTGCACTATATCTTTTAAGATCCTGTTTCTTTTGATGCTATATATGTAGCGAAGCAAACTTTTTTCCTCCAAAAAGTAAAACGCTCTACATTGCGTCTTCTCTTTTCATTCCTTTTACTGTTCACCGATTCCTCCAAAGCTTTCTCGCAATTCATGGTAGCTTTTCGTATTAGCATTTAACAAACATTAGAGATCAAATTCTCCCTTCCGTTTGTCGTACCAAATTTTTTTCTTGAGTTTTTGCCAGTTGCGCCTTGGCTCATGAATTTCGTTTGCACCTAGACGAGTTATATGAATCATTCAGGTTTGCTCAAAGAAGTTGATTTGTGACTGGTCTTTCAGGATCGGACGTCACTTCCTGGCTTCCTTGATAGTTTACTTTCTCGAATTGGTATTTTTGAGTGTGATGCGAAAACAAAGAAAATCTTGGAGGAACCAGATTTTTTTACTGCGCCCTATTCCAGGATAGGCGGAGACAGTGAGTCAAAGCAGCGCTTATCTACACTTCATTCACTTTCAATATCAGTGGATTACCTTTTGCAGATTTGGAAACAGGAGTCGGCCAGATATCCTCTTTTCGCATTCGGAGCGATCTCAAATGGTGTATGATTTGCTTACTCGAGCTCATTACGACAGTCCACATTTGCGTCAAGAGTGCGCAATCACTATCGATTTAAAATCGAACGATTGATCGCTCAAGGTGTTTATAGTGCTGCATATGCATACGCTCTGCGTCAGGTATGGCCCTCTTTATACATAATATCTTTGATTCTTTGATATCGAATTTCACAGGCGCTAAGAGATGACGGCAGAGAGATGAGTAAAGGGCATGAATGCTCTCAAAAGGGCTGCTCAATAATTATTGGGTCAGCTATACAGATGTACTAAAATTCCCAACCTCTTGACTGCATCAAGTTAGTTACTTTTGAATTCAGTCATATTTGTAGATCGATCATGTGTTAGCCTACGAAGAAGGTATCAGTGGTAGCGATACTAGCGATTCTCCATCTTATGCTGAAGAAAATATAGATGGAGATGAAGACGAAGATGTGAGTGTATGCTCATCGAAAATCATATTTCTTTAAAATCGCATTCTGCAAAAAATTCTTTTCTTGTAGGACAAGGGTACGCAACAGTCGGCCTTTAGTGAGCTAGAGAAAAAACAGAATAGGTGATACTATTTCGAGAAGAACTTGCAGAAGATGGGGTTGAAAATTGAACGACGTTCGATCTCACCTTTGGTATGTTCTGTTATCTGCTTTTTCTCCTTTCTGATATATGGAACCGGTCATACTATTCCTGTGATTCCTGCCATTCCTGAGATTCCTGCGAGTTTCGCAACAATGTATATTGCGAAAAAAAACCATTGTATGTTGAACTTCACAAAGTGCTCCATAGTGCGGCACATCGGAAATCGATGAATGAAGGAATCGCAGGAATCACTTCCTGGAATAGTAAGGCCGGTCCCGAACTTATAAATCGGAGAGAACCCTACGAATTTCTAACAATCGATAAATAAACATATAAAGTGCAATGACTTCCTGACCTCTGTAGCGTGTGGATCGATTTGATATTAGCTCCAATGCAGAATCACCGTGCCGAGTCTTAGTGGTAAAATCCTTGTAATCTCACATCCATTTCTCACACGTTTGGTGAATGCGTTAAGTAAAGGTTGATCGCTGCACAGGCAGTCGGATCATGGCAAAGTGGTGCGAAACGCCACCTTCGTGCATTTTCATCCTTGCAGTTCGTTACTCCCGCGCGCCTTGATGGTCGCCCCTTTCATTAGCAACTAGCTTTCACTCTACTTCCTTCATTGGTTTTTACAAATATCAAACAGCTTTTTCGTTCGGGAAGAAGGATCTTGAATGCATGTGATACCTACAGCAAATCAATTTTTCCCTTAATAGTTAAGGTGGTCTTTTGAAGGGAACTGGACGCTCACCACACGCTATCCATTCTCGCTTGCGTTTCTTGTCGCAAGAGGAGCTGTGAAGCACGCTGGGTTGAAAGAGATAAGAATGATCAACCCAATTTTGGAATGTCTTCGTTTCCTGGAACATTTTGTAATAAGCTGTTTCGAAATTTCACTGCTTTGTTTTCTAGAAGTTCGGAGCTGTGGCTGCTGGCGTTGCCGTTGTCGGTGGAGGTTTGATTTATGCACTGAAAAACTCGGTCCATGCTAGCAATGATTTCCATCCATTTCCGCTGTCGGGCCACATAGCGAACTTCAGATCTTTCGATATTGCTTGGGAGTCCCATATGCATTGTACCACTATCATATTTTTTGGTTTTTAACTTAGATTTCCTATTCTTCCATTCCTCGTAGTCATGTTAGGCACAATATTTGATCCACTTGATCCACTAAATACACTTTGTGGAACGCCTCGTAGTAATCTGTCATTTATTGTCGCTTAGAGAAAAAAATTGCATCTTCACGCAAATTGCTGTACGCGATCGCATATGACAAATTACTCACGGCATTATAACGAAGTGAATCATACGGATCAAGTGGGCAGCTATGGCATGTGCCTTGAAATTTATCTTCAGAGCAGAGCAAGAAAATATTCAAGAAACATTAGCGTAGGCCTTTGGACCTGCAGATTATTCGGATAGGTAGTGCACGCAAGTTGCATGTTGACGTAACTTTTGTTTCAACTTGCTTGTTCTGGAAGGCGGGGCTTTGTGAACTATTTAAGCCGCTCGCACCCGCGACGCATCTGCATCTCTCTCGCGCGAGTGCTCTCTGATCATTACCTAGCCTTAATTAGGTCACGAAGCCCCGCCTTCCAGAAGCCTAGCCAGTTGAATCAAGCGGTAGGCTCCGATCTCCCATTTCGATCTCCAGCAAAGTTTTGGACGAATTGTTTTAATCACTTTTTGACCCATCTCTAGAATAGCAATACTCAAACACAAGTTCCTGCATTTCGTGCGCTATTGAATTGATTATTCAAGTCACGTCGCATTCGAAGCAGCTACAGCGCGTTGTAGTCTCAGACTACGCCGCGGATACGAGCGGTCGCCTTCCAGCCGCCAATCCTGCTGAATCAAAATGTAGTCTGTGCTAGAGTGGGAGTAGATGACTATAAACTGAGCAAGATTGTGCGCACTTTATTATAGATAGATCAACTGTTTGAAGGCATTGTGTGCTTATTTTGTACGCAATAGGATAGAGTACGCAAAAACTTTTGCTCCATTTTGGTTGTGGCAGAATCTATATTTACCGATTGCAACTTGCGGTTCTGGTTTCTTTTGAATATTTTTAGTTTTTCTCATCTCTACAAGTGACATCAGTATCCCATTAAAGGGAAGCAACGCTTGTAACGAAAGAAATAAGCGAAAATAGGTGAGAACAAAACCTTCAATAGAACCAGTTCCTGAAGTTTATGCTTGGGAATGATGCCTGCGCATGAGATGTTTATCTATCTATGCGTGTAAGCCAAGTTGCTTTTGAAAAATGTGTATGATATGAGGCTTCTGGAATTCTAACGCCGCGCGAAGATGAACCCCTGTTCACTCCACCACAACATCGACCACGTACAGGCTCTCTCTCCTCTCTCTCTCTCTTTCTTTTTTTCTTCCTTCCATTCCCTCTTTCTTTCTTTCTTTCTTTCTTTCTTTCTTTCTCTCTCTTTCTCTTTCTTTCTTTCTTTCTCTCTCTCCTTCTCTCTTCTTTCTTTTTTTTCTCTCTTTCTCTCTTTCTCTCTTCTAGGAAGGAGGAAGATTGGCATAGGCACCCCGGCTTTGGGCAGTCTAATGTCTGCCTTGAGGACTCAGATCAGGAATGAATGTTTTGATTTAGATCATTGTCCGGTACGGTCAACAGTCCAGTAAGGAAGACCAATTTCGAACGGAAGGAGAACAGAGAAGAGTACAGAGAATGAGAGGAAAGAGGAAAGCAGAAGCGAGACAGGTGTGCTTTGTTAGTTGTCGTTGTTTGCTCATTACATGGTTTTTCTTTAAATGAAAATCACCATATGAACAAAATCTATTATGTCTTCCCTTGCGGTGGCCTATGACCTTGACATATTATTGAGGTACATATTGCCTTTCACTTTGTAACGTCTTTTAACTTTCTACTTAGAGCTTGTGCGACTGCGTATTAGTGATCTGAAGATTGAGAAAGACCGTGACAAGGATAGGACTGCTCATGAAAACACGACTGCGCATTACTGCGCGGAGTACACACAAAAAGTGCTTGCTCATGTTTACAAAACATTAGTACATGCAATCATGTCCATTCGTCGTCTTCTTTCTGAGAATGCAGAAGGAAGATGACGAATGGACGTGATTGCAGAAGCATACTGCAAGTTGCAGTGATATGATGTCAACCAGCAGAACTGTGGTAGTTGGACTTATCTGAAGCAATCTTAGCAGGAATGCGCGATGTGCTGGCCTTCCTGAAAGCCAGTGCAAAAGTTGATCCAGTCAGCGCAGAAGTGCTGCGCGACGCGAAAAATTCGGTATGATTTTTTGAGACTTCAAATAGGTTTTACACGTAATATATAGAATAATTAATGTGTTTAGGTTGGGGGGCGTGGCATAACCCGATGGAAGAGTTTGATAAGGGATTGCGTGACATTTGTCGGGATCGTGAAGGTGGCATTTCAGTGACGAAAAGAATTGCAGATGGTTGGACTGCTGAAGATTATAGGTTAGTCGCTCAGGTCTGCTTGCTGGAGAATATTGCTTTTTCCTTCTCTATACAAAGACTACATCAAATAATGGCAACGATAGCAACAAGTTTAAAGGCAGTGTCTTGACAAAACTTCGTTTTTCAGTTTTTCACCTTTTCAGAGCACTTTCGCCATCAAGAACCCATACCTGGGTTTAGCGCGTGAAAATGGCGAAAATGAGCTTTTCCAAAGTTCCAGATCCTCATTCAGTGAAGAATACGTGCGGGGCGGGACCCGGAACCCAGGAGGCGGGGTACGGAGGACTTCCGGCGTATATTCAGTGAATGCGGACCTAGAAAGCTTCGAGAAAAGCTCATTTTCGCCATTTCCATACGCAGCCCAGATATGGACCCCGGAAAGCTCCGAAAAGGTGTAAAACTGGAAAACGAAATTTTGCGGAAACACTGCCTTTAAAAAACTGCCCTAGCAAGCAGCATGGAGGATATGCAGCGAAAGCTCAGTGTTGCTTATTTATAAGATTATCAGTTGATCAGGTTATTATGAGCAAAACAGAAAGTTGCGCATGTGGGGCAGAAAGATTAGTGGGACATTTCTTTCATCTGGATGTGATTGTTTACTTGCAGTTAATCAATTGCTATTTGCCATTTTCAGAATCATTGCCTTTCGAGGCTGTGCACTACAGGGTTCTTTCATACTGCCGCGCTGAAGCAGCTGGCCGCAGCTGACTGCACTGACTGCAGCTGACTGCAGCTACCGCAGCTTGTCATGTAAAAAGAAAGAAAGTTTGAAGCGAAAAGAGTGAAATCAGAACTTATAATCTTCTAAGGGGTTGTTCAAGGTTTTTCGGCCGTAACCGAGATCGTTCTCTTTTTTTACGTGAACGTCGACGTTTACGTAAACATGCTGCGGCCGCTGCAGTCAGTTGCAGTCAGTGGCAGTCAGCTGTGGTCATGCGGCAGTATGAAACAACCCATAGCTGAACGACGTCTAACGAAGTTAGTGGGTTCAGCCAAATCTATGGTTTTGACCCCACACCGTATACCTACCGTAATACCACAAAAATGGTCTTTTCATGCAAAATGAATACCATTTTCGTGATCAGCATGTCGAGTAACCCCTGTATGCCAGGTTACAGCAGGATCCGAAATTTTGCATTTCTGGGTTGCGTATCTTGGAATAGTACCGAACTGATTGCCTTAGCAGACAGTGTATCAGAGGATATGCAGCGATTACGGTCATCAACCATCGGTCACAGCCATCACGGACACATACTTGTAAAGCCTGACAAAGAGAGATTTTCAACGTTTCCAGAAAGGTAAAAGCTGGAGCTTTTCACCTTTCTGTCGATGTGTACTGTTTGCGATCTGTTGTTGATTTCTCTGGGAGCCTCATCCATGCGGTACGCGTGATTATTGCGAACGGTATCAATTTTTTCGCCGTCAGTTTCGAAAAGTCTGTAATTCCTGGTCGTCTTCCCTCCTCCGTTACCCACCACAGTCCATAATTCTTTGTGAATTTATGGGAATCAGCATGAGATAGCTCTAGCTCTCGCTCTTATCCAAGATTTGCTAGCGCCCAAGTTCACTTTGCAAGTTAGAGACGTTATGTTAGAGAAGTCTCTCTGTTCTCTGAATAATTAGTTGGATAATTGATCGAGTTACAGTGCTAACGTCATTAAATTAGTGCATCCTTTTTTGACCGTTAGTCGTTTTGGCTGGTGTCGCCGGGCAACACAAATGCTTTTTTCGTTGAGTCGGAAGCACTTGAGGTAGGCTGAGCTATAAGTTTGGCTATCTCGAGGAGTGCCGCATATATATCCGCAGTATCCTAACCGAATCCGTTATTGACCCCATCACCGATCAACAAATAGCATCTGTAGATTGCGGAGGCAGAGAATCTTTTAAAAATTGAATATATAATATTCTACCCATAATTCCTATTTTATACAAGTATTTCGCCCTGAATTTTGAGCTTCCAGGTGTTTACGTTGTTCGAGCTCTTATGTAAGCGTACTCAAAGACAGCGTCCATGCAAATTGGACTGTGGAGCTCTCACGTGGACTGTAATTTTGGGGCCCTAACTAAGCTACTGCCCGACCGGCAGCTCAAGTAGTGCACTAACGGGAGATATTCATCAACGGACCATGGGATAGTATTTGAAATGGATTTATGGCGCAATCCATCAATTTCGCGCGACCATGCGAAATACAGTTCCCGGGGTCGAGTTTCGAGGCGAATATTCCAGCCGTTAGAGCATTACCTGAGCTGCCGTTTGAGCACAATCGTATCAACCCTAAGAAATCATGTATAGAAGGGCCCCAAATTACGATTCACGTGGGAGCACCATATGTCCATATTTGCTTGGACGATGCCTTCAATCGTATGTCTTGCTTCCATGAAATTAGTCCCAATTCACATCAAAAAGGTTGAATTTTTCTACTACAGTTTTGGGTACTTCAATTGACGGCTACCCAGCATCCTTTCTAGCTTTCTTCAAAAAATGCTAAATGTTCCCAACTTTAGGACACGCGGTCGACATTGTAGAACGATGTGTTGAGAAAGGCAGAATTTCAAGTTTTTCGTTTTGCAGTCAAGCCGTTTTCATGGTTTTACTGCATTTTTTCTCGTAGTAACTTTCCGAATAAGGACGCTTTTCTAGGCAATCGTGCGTGATTTACAAATTGCTTTGAGTGCCATGGTTCGTCATTACAGAATCATGATGTTAGCGTCAAAGCGCCTTGCTATAGAAGAAAGCAAGGTGGGTTCGTTCACTAAGAAAACATGCTTACAGTAATCGAACCCGACTTCTACACATGATTTCTTTGGGTTGGTACGATTGTGCTCTGGAAGAGCTTGATAATTCATGATATGCGAATATATGTCGTTTTATGGCAACCGACATGATTAATTCCACGTAGACAGCAAGCCTCGAGTGATCATGATGGATGAGAGAAGCTACGCATAGCATTAGAAGAAGCGTTGATGTACTAAAAGGCAATTTTGGCCTTTTTTAGAGTTTAAAGTATGAAAAATAGGAAGTTTGCCCACATTTGCCAATTCACTTCTTTTTCGTTCAGAGACGAAACAGCTATTTGCTCCCGCTTAATCATCGAATCATGCTTCCCAACTGCTAACAAGAAAATCTGTTGCATTGATGCAGCAAGGGCTCACTGCCTTTCTCTTCTTGCTGTGGGAGTGGAGAAAATGCCTGCGCGGATAATATAAATGCTATATATCAATGAACTGATTTGTCTTGAAAATCATTTCCGAGTATTGTGTGCATGACAATGATCATGGTGTTTATTGTTACCCTTCGATTTAACGGGATTGGAGGTTGGATAGCCACCGCTCGCACCCGACGCTGCGTCTCTCTTACGAGCATGCTCTCTGATCATTCCCTAGCCTAGATTAGGCCCTAAAGCCCCGCCTTCTAGCAGCCAATTCCATATAATCAAAAGCTAGATTGTGAATTAATAAAAATCGAGATTATTTCACTTGAAATCAATGCTTCACCTCAAATTCAACATCGCTGATTCAGAAATTTGACCTATTCCTTTTTCTAGATTCTGGATGACGGAAAAGCCCACAGCCTTCTGGAGATACTTCTTGGAAGAAATTATTCCGTCTGACGATCTGTGATGGAGATACAGTGACGCAACAGGCTTCGCCAAGCAGCAACGAGTCGTCACGGGTCAGCGTAGGTATCGTCTGTTCCCTAGAAATTCCCATAGGTACCGTGTCAGCCCGCGGCCTTTCGCTCTTTTCAATATGTTAGCTTTAGCAAGTTCATGGCATTTTGTCAAGTGAAAGTGTCAAAACAGTCGAAAGGCAGCGAGCTGACGTGGTACCTATGGAAACATTCCTGAAGGGACCGATCATATCGTACCCTCCATAGTTGCTGCTACCCTTGGTCTGCGTCACAGACCTGCCATGGCTAACACGACCTGCCATGACCGTGGCTAACATGTTGACAACATGGCAACAACACGTTTGCAACATGCCACAACATGTTGGCGTGGCCAAAATGTTTTGCCAACATGTTGTAGCATGTTGCGAACATGTTGCCAACGTTGCCTCTGAGACGCAGACCAAGGATAGCACCAACTGTGGAAGGGACGTACTCAGTGTCATACAATTGATAACTTCGCAAAAAATCAAAGCGTTTTCTTTTTTTTCTTTTTTTGTTTCTTCCTTTTTGCAAAGTGGTTGGAGTAGCATCCTCCTCACAATAGATTCATACATGCCTTCTATCAACTTTTGTTGGACTGCGTCTTACAACTCGCAGCTTACTCAAGGCTATTGCATAACGAAGGCGCAGAAGCAGTATAAGCTGAGCGGGCGCGAACGCAACTCGCGCGTATCTTCACCATTGTAAATCCTGCGCCTCATGCGCTCTGCGGGTAATGAAGCCGCGTTCGCGCCCAAAGATACTGCGCCTTCGTCATGCAGCAGCCTATATTTATTTCTTGCCTATCGGAGAATGTGCGCGGACCGTAATTTTTTTAGTATGGGTGCGTGCTCTAGCAAATCAATATGTTCTCGAGGGGAAGATCCTCCACTCCAACTTATGATACTTCTTTGATTATTTTAAAGGAATAAAGATTGTTAACACTGTGTTTTTTCGTAGATTACTTCTCTCAAAATAAAAGTGAACACACTTGAGTCGGGGAGTGAAGGTCATATGGCTGATTTGTCGTTGTTCAGACGTAAACTCGAAAAATTGGGAGCAAAAAAAACAGGTGACAATTACTCTTCCACGATTGGAGCATTTAAAGGAACATTGGATTGAGATTTGCGCCAGCTACTGTCAGATCGGTTTTTAGTGATGGTTGTCGATCAGGGGTGAGAATAAAGGTCGTCGATAGACCCCACCCATGAGGACGGCCGACGCCGGCGGATACAGAAAGGCGCGTGATCATTGCAGGTGTCAACGTGCTTTTTTCCTATCTGCGACCTGATGTCCTGTACTTTAATTGGAAAGATGTTGAAAAAAGTGAATCGCGGACGCTTTTGGGAAGGATAATTAGCAGAAATCAGAGTGAGCTATGAATTTACAAAAGTGGAGTGGGTTCTGAATTTCTTTTGAAGGTTTATTTTCACAATCAAAGCTGTAGTTGCTGCCTTACAGGAGAAGGCCACTTACAAGGGAAGGATACTCGGTCGAAGCGGCCATTTGAAATGAGCTGTATATTAAGAGACCGTCTTCCGTAAGGCAAACTCAAAACTACTTTTGCTAGGTGCCGAGCGGTTTCGTGGAGGGAGTTACAAGGCCATTTTCCTCCGGCGCAGCCAGCGCACCCAGTGATGAGCGAGGCGCTAGAATAACGCAGCAGTGGCGCAGTGGCAACGCAGTGGACTACGAAGCAGATGGTCGAGGGTTCGAGTTCTGTTGCTGCTACTTTGTTTTGCAGTTCTGTAAAAAGTCTATTGGGTGACAGCAAACGAGAAATACTATTTCTAGGCAGTTCAAACAAGCTATTCACTGCAAAAAAGTCACTATTTCTACAATAAGCCATAATCTTTTACAATATGTAAGTCTGTGGAGATTATGATGTCACAACAATGGGTTCAAATGATATATTAACATGTATGGAATACAACCACAAAATGCTCAAAGCAGAAGAGCTTCTCGCAACGCGCGCACTTGCAAAATTGCGATCGATTCACATCCCATTTATTGGCTCTTAATCTGAACTTTACCTTGCAACATAGGGATTCCATCCTCAAGATCTTATCGCTCATTTATTCACAATTTTGCTCGCCGCGATTCAAAAATTTGCTTTCATACCCATGGATGCAGCCGGATACATTGACAACCACCCCGGCGAATTCGAGTCTCCTATTCAGTACTGTTTTTCACCGACTTTGATAGGCAATTGTGAAGCTGCTGATTGTCATCGTTTTATTTTATCCGATGTGCGCGCTGCGAGAAGCTCTTCTACTTTGGGCATTTTGTGGTTGTATTCCATACATGTTAATATATCACTTGAATCCCTTGTTGTGACATCATAACCTCCACAGATTTACATATTGTAAAAGATTATGGCTTATTGCAGAAATAGTGGCTTTTTTGCAGTAACTAGCTTGTTTCGACTGCCTAGAAATAGTATTTCTCGTTTGCTGTCACCCAATAGACTTTTTAGAGAACTGCAAAACAAAGTAGCAGCAACAGGATTCGAACCCTCGACCATCTGCTTCGTAGTCCGCTGTCTTGCCACTGCGCCACTACGTAGTTCTAGCGCCTCGCTCATCACTGGGTGCGCTGGCTGCGCCGGAGGAAAATGGCCTTATAACTCCCTCCACAAAACCGCTCGGCACCTAACGAAAGTAGTTTTGAGTTTGCCTTACGGAGGACGGTTTCCTAATATACAGCTCATTCCAAGTGGCCACTTCGACCGTGTATCCTTCCCTTGTTAGTTGAAGTGGCATGTTGGAGGGGAATGCATCTCTGGATAGAGCTCAAATGGTGATCTTTATTTCATCGGCTCCAAGATTCGTATAGAGGCGGAGTCGTAGGAACTCAAAACGTCGGTTTTTGACAGCAAGGAGTATGAGAAATAATATTAGGTTGTCCGAAAATTAATGCAGGTTTTGATTTCCAACCGCAATAAGTCATACATTTCTTATTTTTGAATAGGTTGCAAGGTACTGTTCGATAGAGCAAAGCAAGCTCTACAAGATGGCTATTTTGCTTTAGCAACAGCTCTGATCCACCACGAGTTTCGAGCCAAAAAATAAAATGATTTAACTGCCCGAAAGATTGAGAAAAATCGTAACTCAGTTTATAAGAGACCTGGAAAAATTCTAACTTGCTCACGTAAACACAATCCACATAAGGCATCTGTATACGCCGTTGCCGTATTTTTTTTCTCTGTTAGAAATCAAGAAAACGGAAATTTTCATGCTTTTGCCAAAGTGATGCTGTGCCGTTCGCACATAGATAGTTGTATACTACAAACCTTTAGAAGTACAAACGTAAATTTCCAGCTCTCTACAAGCTTTAGTTCTCGAGAAATATCGAATACAGTTTTCCCTAGTCATGTGGTCCAAGCTAAAATTCAAATTTCTCGCGAACTAAAGCTTGTAGAGAGCTGAAAATTTACGTTTGTACTTCTAAAGGTTTGTAGTATACAGCTACCTATGTGCGAACGGCGCGGCACCACTTTAGCAGATGGACAAAAATTTCCGTTTTCTTGATTTCTAACAGAGAAAAAAAATACGGCAACGGCGTATACAGATGCCTTATGTGGATTGTGTTTACGTGAGCAAGTTAGAATTTTTCCAGGTCTCTTATAAACTGAGTTACGATTTTTCTCAATCTTTCGGGCAGTTAAATCATTTTATTTTTTGGCTCGAAACTCGTGGTGGATCAGAGTAGTTGCCAAAGCAAGATTGCCACCTTGTAGAGCTTGCTTTGCTCTATCGAACAGTACCTTGCAACCTATTCAAAAATGAGAAATGTATGACTTATTGCGATTGGAAATCAAAACCTGCATTAATTTCCGGACAACCTAATATAACGTGGAGGTTTAACAATTTTGTTCTTTCAATTGGAAACCCGTCCCGTCCGATCATATATCTTCTATCATACCTGCGAAGCGTTTTGCTGAAGGAAGTCATGAGTTTTTGTACCATCTAATTCAACTGGCTTGGCATCGGCAAAGGCGGGGCTTCGTGACCTAGTTAAGACTAGATAATGATCAGAGAGCACTCGCGCGAGAGAGACGCAGGTGCTTCGCGGGCGCGAGCGGCCTCAATTAGATCACAAACGCCCTAATGTTGCCAAGCCAGTTGGATCAAAGGTTATTGATGATGGCCAAGAATGAAAATGACGGCCCACAGAAAAAAAAACATGGACGTTGGAAAAACACGTTGGAAAAGCACTTGAAAACATTCAAATGAAGTCGCGTAAGACGTATGATGCTTACTCGTTTGTTTGGCCCTCCCTGCTCGTTTGTGGAATTTGCCGCAATTTGGCAACCAAGCTGCAAGCAAATTTGGCATAAGAGAAGCCTTTAAAGGCAGCGTCCCGGCAAAAAGGCGGGTGCCGGGTTCTTGTGGCGATGTTAAAATAGACCCCCTACCTAAGCGATGACTGATGTTCGGAGTGAAAGAGGGGTCTACGAAGCCTGAAATTTGCTCTGAAAGTGGTCCAAATCTTACGGTGGGCCCGGACGCCGCACACACAGCAATATCGGTTTGCAAGGCCAGAGTGCGTATAGAGGACACAGTCATGAGCGCAGAGTCCCGCAACGACTCTGGGTCTCTACCTCGTGCATCTCTCTACCTTGCATCTCGCATCTCGTCTTGAAATTGACGGGCGTAGCTTCCACGTATATAGAGAATAAGGGATGAATTTGCTACTTAGAAAAAGAAACTACGCTTTAACGTATCTTTTTCTTTTTTATCAGCAACGACTTACCTAAAAAGGAAAGAGTAAGCAAAAATAACACTGGAAGACACTCGCTGAAACTCGCAATGGCAATTGCTGGCGCACAAGCGTTGTCGCGTCTGCAGGGACAAACCGAAGATTCGCATTCGAATAATTTATTCGAAATATTCGACTATTCGAATATCCAAATAGTCGAATATCCAAAGAAGCTCATTTATTCGATTATTCGAATAGTCGAATGAAAAAG